GCTGACAAAGAGCATCAGGCTTGCCGTGGCACTGGCCACCTCGTCCTGCAGGGCCATGACCGTCTCTTTGGCCAAGTCTACGTCCAAGTCCACGGAGAACTCCCTTGCTGACTCTTCTGGAGAGGAGCTGGAGGAGGAGTCAGTGGACGTGGACGAGCACGAGGAAAGCACACTAGCCCGGCTGTCAGAGCTGGAAACCGACAACCTGTCTGGTTCAGGAGAGAGGGGCGTCATCCGTCTGGAGAACCAGGAGGGATTTGGGCCCTTGCAATTCTCTGCAGCCACACTGACTTTTTCCAGCTCCTTCTCTGCCTGAGGGATACTCATCCTTGCTTTAGGGATGTCATAAATGTTGGGTGTGGTGTTCTGCTGTTCCACTCGGGGAATCAGAAAGCTTGAAGGGACCTTGTAGCTGACACCTTGAGCCAAAGGGAATGTATCCCTCGGTGCTGGACAGTCACCAGAAGGGATTTCCGGAAGACTGAATTTTTTCTTCATGGGCACACTGTGATAGAGCTGAGGGGTGAGGGACCCTGCTCTGCTCTTTGGGGGACTGTGGAAAGTGGAGACAGGACTGGGGACAGCATGGGGTCCTGATCCTTCCGCTGAGTCACTTGGAGAGGGATTTCCGACGTGAGCCTTCCTCAGAGACACTGGGGTGTCGTAGATCCATTCTGATTTCTGAGGATTTGGTAGCGTGTTGCAGTTGCCTTTTCTTAGGGCGAATGTCGGTGCTGGGGGGAGGTTCTGCCCCTGTGGAAAACCACACATGGTCATTCAGTTTAGCAGTGATAAGAGAGGAGGTTTGGTCCTGTGCATGGCTTCAGCATCAGCTGATCCTCCCCCACTCTAGGTCGGAAATGCAGGCGCTCGGCCTCCCGGGGTACTATACAGAGTGGTCATGGGGCAGGGGCTCCTCCCGGCTGCTACCTCGGTTTTGCTCTCCAAACTAGGTCCCCTGCGCTTTCTGAACAGCTGGTGCAGCTCCGGAAGCCAGCTTCCCTCACAGACCAGTGCTCGGGCAGCGGGAGGGACGTACTTCATCCTCCAACATCTGACAGTTACTTCTTCATTGTATTCTGGGTATGGCATGAGTACAGAGAAGCTGGCACCTCCGAGGGCAGCTTTTAAAAGATCCTTTCCTTTTTGCAATACTGTGATTCCTTTGACAACACATTTCTAGCATTCCCAGGTAGGCCAAGGTGTCCTACAGAAAAACCTCGAGTTCGACCTCCATTGGGCCTGGCTGGGTTTGGGAAGTGAGGGAGGCTGAGGCAGCTGGCAGCTGGTCACGGCAAAGCCAGCCGGTCGACAGGCTCCTTTCCAGACTGCTCACCCAAGTGGACAGGGCCTTTCGGGACCTACATTTTGGGAAGTTTATTTTACATGTCTAATTCTCAATCCCAGCAGTTTAATGAAAGTCTAAATAAAATGTCAGGTTGTACCTTTAAAAAAATAAAAGTGAGCCTGACTGACTCATTTCAATCTGATCGTTACTCCCCTGGTCAAGTTGCTTCAGAGGGTCCCCACTGCTGTTACCACCCTGGCCCCACCTGCTTTGAGACTCCTTTCTCTCCACTCCGACCGCCAACTGCCGGCCTCGCTCCGTCTCCCACCACCCTCCTGGAGGCCTGGCCACCGGCTGTTTCTGTTCTCCTGGACTCAGAGTGCTTCCTCATGCGCTGTATTTGATTCCCCCACGCTGGTCCCTCTGCTCTAACGGCCCTTCTCACGCTCTCCTAACAAACTCCTGCGCATCCCTCATGACACTGCTGAAATGCACCTGCTTTGTAACCTTGGGCATAAACGTTTCTACGGGCCATGAGAGAATGCAGAGATAAACAAGATCGCACAGGGTTCAAGTTGTCCCACAGTGTCCTTCACCGCATCGCTATGCCTGTCCCATACGAAGCAGCTACCTGATGACTGAGTTCCTGCCTGGTGCCAGCGCGGGCCAGGCTGTGCAGGGGCTCCCTCTGTGCTCCCAGTCCCTCTGGGACATGAAGAAAGGGATGACTTATCCCAGACCGCATAGCTAGACCTATCTATGAACACCAGGGCGGGTAGGGATTCTGCCTGAAACGCAGGAAGACCTGTGACGAACAACTTGCATTCTGGTTTCATGACCAAGCTAATAACAGTCCCCAGGTGTCAGGTCTGCCCCGCGTCACATCGCCCGGCCTGCTCCTACTTACGCTTGCTTGGCTGGCGGCGGGATGCAGCCCTGCCTTCTGGGAGCTGGCTGGCACGTCGTATAACTGCTGCTTCTCTGGCTCCTGGGAAAAAACCATAAAGGGGAACATTATTTCCTCTTCCCATGGGGTATACACCGCAAAGTCCTCCTGCACCAACGTTTTCTTGCAAAGGAGGAGTTGAATCACCGAGGACTTCGGGGCTTTCTGTCCCGATGCTCTTACAGCGAGTCTAGGTGCCGTAATGGGTATAAATACAGTCACTGAAGGACGCTGTGCTTTGGAAACATCTTCGTGATGGAAATGAGGGGTCAAGACTAAGAGGCAGTTAACTCCAATAGCCTGAGGAAAAATGGCAGTTCTCCTCTGCCTGTGAGTTAGCTTTGAGACTGAACGAAGCCAGGAGAATGAACGTGACTGGGATCAAATATGCCTTATCTGCTGTTCGTTTCTCAGCAGAAGCTGTCCCGTCCCCGTTACTCGTACTTCTCGTATATTCATCCTGCCCCTGTTTACGGAGTCCCGTAGCTGCTAGAGTCCAAGTCAGATGGCACTGCATATGTCCCGCCACGAGTGGAAGGCACGGCGCTGTGTAGATGCCGTGTACCTTCACACGGCGGAGGGAAGGCACCGTACTTACAGAACGTGACAGATAGTGCCGGCTGCAGAGCCAGGTGAGCGAGCACCAGCTCTGGTTTTGCAGAGAGAGAAAGAGACGGAAATCGGAGAGGTTTTTGTTTGTAGATTTGGGGTTCTGGGTCTCCAGAACCCCCTCCATGGGGGATGTCCAGGTGGGATTTTCAGTCCTAAGCAAGGTGTCAGAGCTCTGGTGAGACCACTAAATGGTGTGGGTTGTGTCCCCTGAGCTGGGGTCGCAGTGCGAGGGGGCTGACTGACTGAGACGAGTTAAAGGGGAAAGGCTGAGAACGCAGAGTGACAGAGTGGGAGCCGCGTTGGGCATGGCCTGTCCACAGGGCCAGGACCGCGGTGACAGCAAAGGACAGCCCTCGTATGGCACAAGACGCAGGGCACCCCAGCCTCACCTGTCGGGGTGAACAATACTTTAATGTAGCATTTGAAAAATCACAATTAATTTTAAAAATCCATAATGAACAAAAGGTCAACATTTTAAATAAAGACAGGGCCCAGTGGAGTGGGGCGCGGGGTCAGGGGAGTGAGATGAGTCAGCAGGTCCATGCCTCCCTTTAAAACGTCTGTGCCCGGGGCTGGCGCCTGTGGCACAGAGAGCACACCTGTTTCCGTGGACTATTTTTTTTAAGTACATACATATCAGGACCAGCAGATGGCATAATGGTTACATCGCTGGACACTCCTATATAGTCGACTGCGGTTCAAATCCTGGACCCAGTGGCTTACACTCACACCAGATGCATCTGCGTGCGTGGCCAAGATCCCAAGAGGATAATGGAGGAGGAGGGATTGCGGCGTGGCCATCCCCCTGGGGGGCGATTTCTTGCTTTCTATCTCTCTGTCTTTCTGGCAAGCGCATGTGCCCTATAGCAAAAATCTCTCCCCTCCCCCCAAAAAAGTACATACGTATGTGTGTGAATATACACTCACACATTCCTATATAAAATATCCTTTATGAATGCAAAGTAACAATTTAAGAAGAATTCCGAATTCAAGCAGCCCCAACACTCTCCCGAGCAGGTCTGAGCTCCCTGGGCACGGAGGAACTACAAAGTGGCCCTGGGTGGTGACCCGCATTTTGGAGTTAGAGCAGATGCTTCCCATCATCTCCAGATGCAGAGAACCCCGGGCTCGGGCACGGAGGGCTGCGTGGAACAGGGTCTCCCAATGGGGCTCACCTGAAGGGCTGCGGGGACGCGGCTCTGGGCCGGCATATCATACACCTGGGAAGGCAGGGTTGGCAGCGAGGTCCGTGCGGGTCTGGAAAGTGTGACGAGAGCCTTGAGAGAAAAAGGAGGGAGCAGAGAGAGAGAGTGTCACACGCATTGTCAGGGTCACATCCAACAGTATCTCTCAAACAGCAGAGACAGCTCTGCATGCACTGTAGAGATGATCGCCTGGTACTCTCCACTCTAGGATGGATGGCGGGACACCGGTGGGGGTGGTTCCCCATGGGGGGTGGTCTTCCTAATGGGGTGACCCGCAGCTTCCCGAATCAGCCTCACTGGGGGAGCAGGTTAGAATGCAGATGCCTGGGCCCCACATCCATTGCACTGACTCTGAGTGCTGAGGGCCCCGGGACCTGCAGACGAGCTCACAAGGTGGCCCCTATGTCCTCTAGGGTCCAGGAGCCTGTGGCTCTCCACCGGTGTTCACGTACACATTCATCTCACAGTGCTGAGGCTGTGGCTGTGAAGGAGACAGGCAGAGGGGCTCTCACGGTGTAAGGTGGAGGAACGAACTAGGTCTGGAGAACTGAGACCTGGGTCCATCTGAGGACGTGTTGCCAGGGCCAAAGGCTGATAGGGGAGTGAGCAGTCCGGATGGGTCAGGACCAGCAGCTTTCACTAGCACGGTGGGAGGCCGAAGACATCTTGATGATTAGCAGCCATTGGAAGAGACGGGCACAGAGCGTGTGAGGGGAGCGGGGAGAGACGGGGTTGGAAAGGTTAACAGGAGGCCAGTTGAGGAGGCAGGAGCCCCTACAGCACAGGGCCCCCAGCCGCCCTGTGTGTCAGTGAGAGCTTGCCAGTTGTCGCTCATGCCTGTTCAAAACTCGGCCTTGGGCTATGGACAGTAAATAGAAACTGGGCTTCGAGTACATCGTCTGGAGCTTGTCAACATCGCTGCTATGCTGGGCACCCCCTGGGGTTGTGGGGGCACATGGCTGAGACCTCCAAACCCACTAGGGGTCTGAGTCGCCTCGTGGACTTACAGAGCACAGCCGCCAAGGCGCCTACCCCAGACCTCCTGGACTCCACTGACTCCCAGTGGGACCTGGGAGCAGGAGCTTTTTTTAAAAATGTCAGAGGGCATGTGCACACGAGCAGGAGGAAGTCTGAGTTATCCGGCTCTTCACCAGGCCTCACGAGCCAGGCACTGTCCAACCCCAGGGGCCATGTGAGTGTTCCTGACCACACATTCCCTCCCTTCCTGCCACGCGAATGTGCCGAGCTCCCCACTGAGACTGCCCCAGGTACTGTCCCATCGCTGTCCCTACTGAGACTGCCTCAGGTACTGTCCCATCACTGTCCCCACTGAGACTGCCCTGGTTACTGTCCCATCACTGTCACTCCCTGTGCCTTCAGGCCCTTTTATGTGCATGGCTGACTCTGGGGTCACAGGGCCTATGGAGCACTTACTGAGAGCAAAGGGACTTTCCTGTGTGTGACACTTCTGATGGAAGGGAGCCAATTCAAAAATGCCCAGTGCTTCTTGGAAAACGTGGGTTCAAGATAGTGATCAATTTGGGAACATGTTTGAGAAACATGGTTTCAAAAAGTATAGAGAAACCGAAGGGAACACTGGTTTAAGAACTGGTGGGTCGAAGAGGGACTACCAGGAAATCTGGCCCTTTTTGCTTGAAATACAGGAGAGTCCCTTCTACAAATTTGGGAAAAAATAAAATCTAATAAAATCTTTATGTTGTGTTTTTTCTTTTTCTTTTTTCTTTTTCTTTTCTTTTTTTTTTTTTTTTTTGAGGTCAGGCCGGCATATTATATGAAGGAAGTTGGAATAAAAAGTAAAACAAAGCTCAAGGTAGTGGTTACCCTGGGAGGAAGTGACAGGGAGTGACAGGGAGCAGGCCCAAGGGGCTTCTGGGTACTTGGTTCTGTTTCTCGATGTGGATGCTGGCGTCTAAGGTACATGTTTAGGGCATGGAGGCAAAACTCACAGGAGAAATGAAAAGCTCATTGGAAAGAATAGTTTCAACCACACGGCCAGGTAAAAGAAGACTGTGGTGGGCGACAGGTGGCGTGGTGGTTAAGGTGCTCGGTTCTCCTGTGCCAACTCTGCAGGTCCAAGTCCCGGACCCAGTGGCCTGAAAAGCATGCCAGGCGCATGTGCTTGCATGCCCTAAATCCCAAGAGAACGGAGGGGAAAGGACTGCAGCGTGGCCGTCCCTCCTGGCGGGACTTCTTGCTTTCCCTCTCTGTCTCTATTTCTCTCTCTGTCTCTCTCTGGCAAGCACACACACCTTATGAAAACAACAAAATCAAATAAAAAATAAAATCAAATAGAGGACAGGACATGCCGAGTGGTTAGGGTAAGGGCCCTGCTTTGGGGGGTTAGCAGCCGAGGGCCCGGGCAGAGGCGCACAGACATGCAAGGAAGCCCAGCTGCGGCCCCAGCGCTCATCGGCCTGTGCCCTGGAAAGGCTGTTTCACCTCACTGGGAAGCAGTTTCCACATCTGTAAGTGACCGGTCTCTTCCAGCTGTTGGAGAGGCTGATTCTGACATGCGGACACCTCTCCTGGGAGAACTGAAAAGAGGCATTTTCTGGCATCTTGGTTTTTCAGTTGGGGCCCCTTAATTTAGAGATGGTCCACATAAGCGTAAAGAGAGCCTGCGAGGTGAGTGTCTCGGGCTGTCCCCGGTCTGTGAACTTGTCCTTGGAAAGCAGCTCAACGCCAGCAGCTCAGGCTGCTGACCTGCTTTTACCAGCAGCTATTCCTGCTCGGAATGCATTTCCTGGGCAGGCCGAGGTCCCCATATCCTGTACTCTAGTTTATTGTTTATTTATTTTGTTGTTTCCATAAGGTGTGTGTGCTTGCCAGAGAGAGACAGAGAGAGAAATAGAGACAGAGAGGGAAAGTAAGAAGTCGCCCCCAGGAGGGACGGCCACGCTGCAGTCCTTTTCCCTCCAGATAATTCAGATAAACACTAGATCGTCTGAATAGTAGAGACAGAGAGGGAAAGTAAGAAGTCGCCCCCAGGAGGGATGGCCACGCTGCAGTCCTTTTCCCTCCAATAATTCAGATAAACACTAGATCATCTGAATAGGAGAAGTCTGCCTTTTCTGTAGGCCACAAAACAGTTAGCTGCTTGTTAATTATTTTTCTATTGATAGATCCAGCCCCTGCTTTCTTAGAGGAAGGAGAAAAATAGCGTAGAGTCACCAAAGGGTACAAGGAGAGCAGAGCTTCGCAGTGACGAGGTCTGACCCTGTCAGGACCCTGAGAAGCAGCAGGTTCCGCCGTGTTCCTGATCGGTGAGTGGCCGTGGCTGCCTCAGGGTCGAGTGGGCCCGAGCTCCCGACTTCCAGGCCACAGCCTGGATGCAGCTTTTGCTTTAAGAGACTCCAAGCACAAAAAGGTAAAAAACAAACAAACAAAAAAGAAACAACCTCTCCCCAGCTCCAAACAGGTACAAATGTAGATAGGACAGACATGGAGGGAACTCAAGGAAGGACAAAAAAAGGCAGGAAAGTCCCCCAGGGGTTTCCTGTGGCCACCTCTGGAACCCTCCTCCGTGGCCAGGAGCCCCCGAAATCCCCTCTGGTAGCCGTGGTTTGCTGGTTGCCACAGCCTGCATGAGCGAGGACTCAGGGCTTGACCAACTTCACGACGAGGTCGAGTTTTACAGCCTGAGTTGAGTTTTGATAGTGAACTTGTCTTCCCTTTCACACGATGTCAGTCTAGGGGTTGGGAGTGGAGTCTGTGCTTGTCCTTCTGTATCCGTTCAGTTCAGGGATTCGATCGATGTTTCCTAGCGCCAGGAGCCTGGCATTGGGGCCTGGGGTAGCTGGCCAGCCCAAACATTGCCTCTGTGGTCCTTTTAGGGAGGGCGGTGGACGTGGCCAGTGGAAAGCAATTCATATTAACTTCAGCTAATATTGCCTGTTCTTAGAAGAGACACCACCAGGCCCTGCTCAGAGTCAGCTGCTCAGACGGCGGCTGAGTACACCAGGGCTAGATGTGGGCCAGTTGTTCCAGAAAGACGAGCTGGGGTCACCCCGTGGACTGCTCCTGAAGGCTCGGCCAGCTTCCTCCTGGTATGTGGAGCTGGTGTCTGCACAGCAGCTGTTCTGCGTGACAACTGTCTGCCCTGAGCCTCAGGGACTTATTAAATCTGAAGCATGTAAAAATGTTGAAGGAATCAACACCTTCCCGTTCGAAGGTGGTGTTGGAAGCTGGTACGGCAGAAGCCCGAGTGGTGAGCGGCACATTCCCGGGCCCCACAGCACATGTACCGGGGCAGCCTTGTCCTGGACACAGGCTTTGCCAAGACCTCTGGGAGCCGTGGCCAGGTGGCACGTGTCATCTGAGCTGTAAGCAAAGCATCTGACAGCAGGAAATGCCCACAGTGACCGAAGGCCGTGCAAATCTGCTCTGCGTTCTTGACACATCATCGAGGCTTTGGGGAAGCAGGATGTTATTTTTGTCCTTTCTTCTTTGAATTCCTTTTCTTATATTTAAAAAAGTGTTCATTCTGTATTTACCAACCATTTATTTTCCTCTATTAAAAAAATTGGTGTTTAAAAAAAGATGTCTTCCATGTTTAATACGATACTCGGATCAACTTCGAGGCTATTTATCAAAGACTGAGGACCTTCTCGTGTCAGGCCCACTCCCAGGTATGGGATGCAGGGGTGAATAAGACGAGGGCCCTGCTCCGGCGCTTTCTCCTCCTCCTTACTGGCTCCACTTCCTAAGGCTCACCATGCTTGCTGTGTGTTCCCCCAGGGCTTTTTGGTTTTGTTTGTATGATATTTATTTATTATTTTAATTATTTCTTTGTTATTTTCATAAGCAAGTGAGAGAGAGAGAAGACAGCGCCGTGACGGGTCCTGATGCCATGACCCCCAGCCTCAGCAGCCCAGATCGTGGGCATGCACGTGCCCGTGTGCTCAAGGCGGTCTCTGGGCATGAAGAACCTGGCCTGGTGGGCAGCCTCGCAGAGTGCCGGGGTGCGTAGGGGCACCTCCATCCAGTTCTGCTGTGTGTACGAACTCGTGTGTGCGCATATGTGTGTATGTACGTGTGTGCTTTAAATAGCCAGTGCATGCCCAGTTTTCATTTAGATGGCTCTTTCTCCCCCCTTACGAAGCCCTTAGAAATACTTCATACACACACACGCACATGTATATTTACAACGCGTGGTATTAATAGTTTGCTGCGGTGACGTGCTGAGGTCCCTGTCCTCCATCGCCCACTAACAAGCGTTTCCCCTCACAAATGCTCTAATGCCCGTGGCCTCCTCATCTGGACACGCGTTTGCGTTACTTGAGGATTGCTGCAGCAGTCCTAGGATATAACTCCTGGCTGAGACAAATGGACATTTAAAATGTGACAAGGAACTTCTTGCTTTGAATGCTGTCACTTATCGTCAGTGGCCCCGGCATCCCTTCAGAGTGCCTAGAGACCGCCATGACTATCCGTACCGCTTTCCTGCACAGCTCCACCAAGAGCGAGTTTACGGGGCACGTGCCCAGCCTCCAGGGCTAAGAGACTACAGGGAGCTGGGAGCGTAAGTGACAATGTCCCAGCCAGGCGCCAGGCTGCCGTCATCACAGCCCACGACCCACATTCCCTTTCTGCACATTAGACTAGGAGGCGGGTGAGCCCTCGGGTTCCTGTGCCCCCGACCCATCTTTTCCATTTGGAGACGTGCTTACCTGTCTGGGAATAGTGAGAGTCTTTTCACAGACGATCCTGGCAGGCATAGGCAGGTCAGGAAACTCGTAGACTTGGGCCACGGGTGGCGGGGGCCCCTCCACCCAGCTCTTCATCTGCTCATACACGGGGCCCGAGGGTGGAGAGTGGAGTGGGGCGGGCACCTGATACGTCTCCTCTGTGCTGGCGAGAGCTCCTGGGCCTCTGAGGAATGGGAGGCAGGGGTTATCTGTGGGGGCCTCCGAGAGGACTTGGAGGCGGTTTGCAGGGGCCAGGCCCTGTCTCCCGTGGAGCAGGCACTTCCACCAGCCCTCGCTTTCCGGCACGTTCTTCTCTAGAATAGTCAGGATGTCTCCTCTGCAGAAAGCCAGCTCATCAAAGCAATCAGGATGGTTGTCATAAAGTGCCCTGGCCAGGAGCGTCTGGGGGAGGAGGAGAAGAGAGCCGATTGTCATTACCACCTCCAAGGGCCACTCTGACGCAGTATGGACTTACAGCTGCTCGGCCCCGAGGGCTCTTGTCTCTGCGCTGCCTGGTTTATTCCTCAGGCCTCAGGTGAAATGTCCCATTCTTAGGGAGCTCACACCCGCACCCAGAGACCAGGTTGAATGTCCTAATATACCCCATGACCCAGTTTTAATTTGCAGGGGCTACAGCACTTGTAGTTACGCAGATGCATGCAGTGTCAGGTTGAAATTCCTAGCAGCGTACCTCTGAGCAAATTAGCTACCCTCTCCAGGCCTTGGTTTTCTCATCTGTAAAAAGCGGGGACCAGCAGTTAGCATAATGGCTATGTCGCTGGACTCCCATGTTGTCGACCGCAGTTCGTGTCCCGGACCCAGTGACTTAAACTCACGCTGGGCACATGTGCATGTGTGCCCAAGATTCCGAGAGGAGAATGGAAGAGAAGGGATTGCGGCGTGGCCATCCCCCCTGGGGGGTGATTTCTCACTTTCTGTCTCTCTGTCTCTCTCTGTCTGTCTGGCGAGCACACGCGCCCTATAGCAAAAAACCTCTCCAAAAAAAAAAAAAATGAGGGGAACAGTACCATCTACCTCGGGGGTTATTGTGAGAGTTAAACGGACTGCTGTGTTAACCTATTAAAAATGACATGTGTACACACACATACTTTAACAGCGCCTGGCATTTAGCAAGTGCTCAGTACACGGGCTGTCCCTGCTATAAGTACCATCTCGCTGCCTGCTGGTTGTTGTCATCTTTCTTCTGAATCGGACTGGAAAGCCCATGACTGCCGGGTTCCCATCTTGCTGCTCTGTCCCCGGCATCAGGCCTCCGCCCAGGGACCAGGAGATACTTTGTAATGTCTGTTACTGAGTGAATGCCGAAAGACGGTTCCATGGTCCCATGGGGATGGGCAAAAGCATTCCGACAGCCAGTGGACCCACAGCCATGGGAAAAACCCAGTCTCCCAAACTCCCCGACCCACGATCTTTCACTAGGCTGCACAGGCCCCTCGAACGTCCCCTTATTGCGATGGTAGTGATGGCTCACTCCCTCCTTGCTGAATGTCCCACTCTACGCACATGAGGGGGATTTGTTTCTGTGAGTTTTAGAGTAATCGCATTTCCTGATTCCGTCAATACTGACTTCTAAGGGAGCACTGCTGCGTGCACACCTACAAAGCTCAAGTAGAATCAGACCCTCAGGGCAGGCAGAGACACCGAAAGTCTTCATAAAACCTACTGTGGCAGGGACCAGCAGTTAGTGTAATGGCTATGTCGCTGGACTCCCATGTAGTCACCCACGGTTCAAGTCCTGGACCTGGCAGCTTAAACTCACGCCGGGTGCATGTGTGTGCGTGCCTAAGATCCTGAGAGGAGCATGGAGGAGAAGGGATTGTGGTGTGGCCATCTCCCCTGGAGGGTGATTTCTCGCTTTCTATCTCTCTGTCTCTCTGTCTTTCTGGCTAGTGCATGCGCCCTATAGCAAAAACGTCTTCAAACAAACAAACAAAAAACACACAAAAAACTACTGTGGCTGAGATTATAGGAGATCATGACCAATTTTGTAAACTAAACTTTTTTTTCTCACTACAAACGCAGTAGAATTTTATGAAAGAGTATGAAATATGGTTAAGCAAATACAACAGCCATCAGGGCCAGCTCAGGAACTGCTGCTAAACCTTCTGCAGCTTCCCAGACCTCTCTTTCTCATGCGCATTTGCTCACATACACACCAGAGTCATAGTTCTAGTTTAAACCTAATGCAATCATGCACACAGTTTTATAATCTGCTTTTTCATTTAAAAATAGATCATGAACATCTTTCCATGTTTTTTTCAGTATTTTTAAAAAGAATTATTTTATTTAACTTTGTTTACTTATTTTAATTTGACCAGAGAGTAACAGAGTGAGAGAGAGAAAGAAAAAGTGAGAAAGCAAGCCGTCAGGTCCAGGACTTGAACCATGGTCAGCCATGTGGGAGTCCAACCCCCTTAACCACCATGTCACCTGCTGGCTCCTTTTTCAGTATTTTAAAACTTTTTTTAAAATAGACTTTTGAAAGCTTATTTAGGGGCCAACAGGTGGCATAGAGGTTGAAGTGCTGAATTCCCATACAGCCAATCACAGTTCGAGTCTGGATCTGGCAGCTTGTCTTCTTACTTTCTCTCTTCCTGGCGAATGCACAAGCCCTATGGCAATATTTTAAAATAATAATAATCAATAAAAAATACATGAATTTATTGAGAGAGACAGTATGGGGTCTTCATGCCACGATGCATCCCCCACCTCTGGCAGACAGGATCATAGCCGCGGGTGCACCCAGTCTGTACAGGAAGACCTCAGGATGTGAACCTGGGACCTTCCCGTGTGACCTCAGATCGTGGAGCATGGTTACTGCTGTGTCATCTTGGTAGCCCCTCAGTAGCCTTTTAAATAGCACCACGGTTTGTCCTTGTATGGATGAACACCCTCTTTGTACTTTGTGGTTGGGGACATTTCAGCTAGTGCAGTTGTTAGCTGTGACAAACAGTGCTGAAATGATCATCTTTCAGCTCAGCATCTGCAACCCTCCTTTCTTATCATGGATAAACGTCAGTAGGAGCCTAGAGTCTACAGGTTTACTCATCTGTAGCTTGGAAGGTGTATTCCTCCCTACTGCACCCACTTGTCATTCTGTTTTTTTTTTTTAGGAAAAAAGAGTGCCAGCAGGTGGCGTGGTGGTTAAGGCAGCTGGATCCCACATGACTGACTGCACAGTTTGAGTCCCAGTAGGGTGGCTTGCAAAACACGCCAGTGCATGCACGTGTGTGCCCAAAAACCCCAAGAGGAAAATGGAGAAGAAGGGATTGCAGCATGGCCACCCCCCTGGATGGTGCTTTCTCACTTTCTCTTTTTTCTCTCTCTTTCTCTCTCTCTCTCTTTCTGGTGAGCACAAGTGCCCTGCACCAAATGAAAGAAAGAAAGCTAAAAGTTTCTAAGGGTTGTGGGCATGTGTATCGTGAAGGCCATTCCTGCCTATAGAGATTTCATCTCTCTTCCATGGTGAGCTGGAAACCCTGCAGGGAGTATGGCCACTGAGATGTGTGGAAGATGAATGCATGGTGCCTGCTTGTGTGCACTGAGTCACTCTCACTTGCATGTGTTATGAGTGGTTCACACGAATGGGGATGCTCAGCTTGGAAAACCCAGCAGAAACCATGTGTTTAAGGGAACAGTTTTAGAATCTCCTGAAGAGTATTGATACAAGGGAAAGCACTGTGGTGAAGGCAGCTGGATCCCATGTGGATCACTGTGCATTGAGTCCAGGACCCAGAGGCCTGAAAAACACGCAGATGTGAGTGTGCGCATGCATGCCCAAAATCCCAAAAGAAATGGGAAAAAATGGGATATATAGCATGCTTTTTTATTCTGTCTCCAGTGAATACAAGCACGCTACATCAAATTAAGGGAAAAGAAAGTATTGATTAAATATCAAAACTTAGTGAAGTTATATGCAACTTTGTAGATTTTTCTTTCCCCCAGTTAGGGGCAAACCATTCCTGTTCAGTAGGAACATTTAACCTGAAAGGTTATGGTTTGTTACTTTGTAGGACTTTGGCCAGTTTTGTATCTATCCCTACAATCATCCTAATAGTTCTAATTTAATTGCTGGTACTAAGCTCCCCAGTGATCTGTGACCTGGCTTTAACACCTTACTAATTCCTTTATTAACTAATCAATTGATTAGAATTTTTTTTTTTTGGAGAGGTTTTCGCTGTAGGGTGAGTGCGCTTGCCAGACAGACAGAGAGAGACAGAGAGACAGAAAGCGAGAAATCACCCCCCGGGGGGATGGTCACACCGCAATCCCTTCTCCATTCTCCTCTCGGGATCTTGGGCACGCATGCACACGCGCCCGGTGTGAGTTCTAAGCCACCGGGTCTGGGACGCGAACCGCGGTCAACTACGTGGGAGTCCAGCGACATAGCCGTTACGCTAACTGCTGGTTCCCTTGATTAGAATATTTGACATGAGTTCATTTATATTTGCATGAGAGTTATAATTCTACCATTTTGAAAATCTCCAACCAATCATCACAATTCCCATGAAATACATTTAGAGCAACCTTAAGAAAAAGCCATTATCTGAAATGTGCTTGCATTTGTCTAGAAATAAGCTAGAGTGTATCTTTAGACAGTGCAGTTGTTGAAAACGGCAGCTGCTCTGAAGTATCCAGACGGCAGAGTTTAGCTGGTACATTGGTTCACTGGGAAAGGCAGGTCCACCACCACCCCCCTCCCCCGGGAAACAAGGAGCTTTTATGCACTTCTTCCTCACTGGGCATCCACAGCTGTCCAAGAAGGACAGCGACAGTCTTAGTCTTCAGATATGGTTTACTTCAGACTTGCGTCCTGCTGCTTCTAGGACAGCAGACCACATCTTCAGAGATGCAAATTTCCAGAAAGGAGAACCCTAAGAAGGCTGCTCTAACACAAGTCCCTTCTGTATGGTATTTCATTATAATTGGCCGTTTCATTATAATTGTAGCTGATGACCTCATGCAATCGATTAATAATGTCTCAGAGTCTTACTAGCAAAGCGCATCAATACCTGCGGTGTAAAAACAGCATGAAATGCACGTGGGAAGCCTTGCGTTCCTCTCCTTCCAGGAGGGAAACTGGGGAACGGACTATATTGAGTGGGTAATGGAGTCGCATTATCTATTTTGCGTTGAGTGCACTGGTGTCATTCTGTCACTTAACTGTCAGAAGTCTCAGGGGTAGGCATTCTCATCCCCATTTTACAAATGACGAAACTGAGGGTCAGAGAGATCACGTGACTCAGCAAGGTTGTACCCTTCCTCTGATGCCTCCTGATACCAGCTAGGATAATATTTTATACACATAAATTGGATCAAGTTGGTCTCTTGTTTAAAATCCTCTAATTGCTGACAATTGTGCTCTGGACACAATGGAAACT